GTCGGTCATGCCACACCAGTGGCAAAGCTTCACCCTGGCTTAACCCAAAATCCAACAGGATGCTGCACCGTCATGTTCTTTCCTGCCCCATCTTTTCAGCGAGACACCCCCAAGGTTACGTATAATAATATCAGAGTGAAGAGCTTTGATTTATCCACACCGCTTTCTCCCTGCAGATGGTATCCCTACACCTGCATGCAGCTCTGGTCCACTCCATGCTTCCAGAATGTATTATTTCTCTAAGAAAAAGGAGAGCCTGAGCAAGCAAGACCCGAGGAAACGTGTTGCAATGGTCACCTGGATGGTAAAATAAAAGCAAGGGCTGTTCACTGCCTGCTGAGTGCTATGAATGCTGAATAAACCTCGATGCAGTGCTCTGTGGAGGGGACCTTCCATCAAAGCCAGGATTGTCCCCAAATCATCCCAGATCCACCTGCCCAGGTACGTCACGAACCTAAAATGCCCCCGACGTCAAAGAGGGTTGACAGGTCCCCAGCTTCTTTGGCACCAAAATGAGCTGCGAGGGAGAGGAGAGGGGTGAGGAGACGCTCCCCTTGTCAGGCTCGCTCCCACCTCACCCTGCTTCCCAAAAACTCACCCACATTCACGATGTAAAGGGGCAGCCAGTAGAGGAAGGTGTAGCTCACCAGCTTAGCAAAGAGCAGGCAAAGGGAGAACTCCACCACCCCCTGGGAGAAGAGGAGAAGACATCAGAGGAGCCTCCTTCTCCCAAGCCTCCTCCATAGGGGGGGTTTCCCCCGTTTTTCTGCCCGGTGGGCACCCCGTTGATGGGGTGAGCTCCCTGGCTTTGCTCTTTCCTCCATCCCCATCACGACGCGAGGGGCATCCTGCGACTCACAGGTATCCGGAGCGCCCCGAGGAAGCTGATAGCTTCGGGGTCCTCAGCCGGTCCCTTGGGGCTGTCAGAGCGATCCGCGCCACTCTGGCCTGAGATGCTCAGCGGCCCCTCGTTGGAGGTGACAGCTTCAGGATCCTTCTCATTGGAGGTCACCCCTCCAGCGTCCTCCTCATCAGAGGCCATCTAAAAGCAAGCCAAAAGTGGGAGATGAGGCTCTCGTTGCTGCAAGGGGCTGAAACATCAGATCCACTGCCGGGACGGGACCTGGAGGATTCTCACGCCGGAATAGCAACGAGGATCCTCCGCGATAACGTTGCTGTAATTTCTGATGTTATTTCTGACACTCCGGCTATTTTGCTGCAAACTGAGCGACCACCAAGCCCAGGACAAGCCCTTTGGGAATTGATTTGACTCACGTGATGCAGGGGCGGACTGCACCCAACGTCCTCGGGATCTGCAGGGAGAAAGGAGATCTCATGAGAGCCTGGACCAGCCCTGCTCCGCCCACTGGGGACAAACACAGGGCTGGGAACCCCTGGGGATGGGCTGTGTCTCCAGGTACCCACTTCCCAGCAGCAAAAAACCCCGGTAAAATCCCAAAGGGCTTCCCAAAAACTGAGGGGAGGGAGCGGCACAGGGGATGAGCCTGCTTGGGTGGCCCCAGAGGATGCTGAGCATCCCTGTGGTGGTCAGGTCCGCATCCCTGCTTGCCACAAGCTGGAAATAAATATTTGGGGTTGCCAAAAATGCTTGGAGACAGGTAAGGTGAAAAGTTGTAGTCCCACTGATTTCGGCGTTACGCCGGTCATCTGCTGTGCCCCAGATCCTGCCACTCACATTCCACAAGGAAGAAGAAGCAGATGATGCCCGTGGCAGCGATGATGATGCCGGGCACGACGAAGGACAGGCCCCAGGCGGAGGAAACCCAGACGCCGGCGATGAGCGACCCTAAGATGTTGCCGACGGAGGTGTGTGAGTTCCAGATGCCCATGATTAAGCCTCTCCTAGCAGAGACAGAGCTGGGGTCAGCAGTGCCAGGGTGGCCAACTGGGACCAGGGTGGGACACGCCGGAGAAACACTCACTTTCCCTTCCCGAACCAGTTGCCGACGCACGCCACGACCGAAGGCCAGCCTGTCGTCTGCACCAGCCCGTTGCAGACCTGGCAAGAGACAGGCAGCATCGCACGGTGCCGCGACATCCAGCGAGCGCTGACTGGATCCCTGGAGTGCAGCCCCTGCGCTGTTTTGGGTAGCCGGGCTCAAAAATAGCCACCCCCCATCCCAAAGCTGGCAAGAAAACACTCGGTTTGGGTTTGGTTTTTTTTCCTGCTGGAGCTATTTGCATCGCTCCCGTGGCTAACTTGGGAGCGGCTGGTGTTGCCAAACCAGCTGCCCGCCCTGCTCGGCAAGACGGGCTCGCCCACAGGTTTCGGCGCCCACGCCACACGCGACCGGGTTTATGCAGGGAGTGGAAATGCCTGACGTTCTCCCGCTCAGGAACTGGGCCGCTCTGGTCCCCGAAAGCCATCAAAAAAACCGGGATGTGGCTGCAGCAGTAAAATCCAGAGCCTGGGTGTCCTGCAGCATCAAACAACGCACCTGCACAACGATGAAGTACCAGAGGACATGGATGTCCCAGAAGTAGCCGAGGCCAAAGAGCGCGGTGAAGAGCCCACTCAGCACCATCCCCCCTGACAGGTAGTAGCGCAGGGGAAGGCGCTCCCCGAAAATGCCACTGCGGAGAGATTTTCACGGGTGATGCCGCCAATGGGTGTTATTGCCCAAATCCCGAGCGGATCCCAGCACCCGGCTGCTTTGCCATTAGCGTGACCTCAGCCCAATGGAAACCAGTT